TTTTTTTTCAGCCCATTTTCTTTTTTTTTAAAAGAAAAAAAGAAGGATAAAACCTTTTTTTTGGAAAAAAAACAATAATTTTAAAAAGGGGGGACCCGGGGGAAATTTTAAATTAAAAAAAAAACCCCCAGTATTTTCCTTATAAATGCAAATAAAATTTAAGCCATTTTGCATTTTTTTTTTTTTTTTCCAAATTAAAAAAGGGAAAAAGGGATGCCCTCCCGTCCCTCCAGGGGGGGGAAATGGCCCCCCAAACCGGGCCACACCCTCTGGGGAGGGGTGGCCCTCCCGGGGAGCCGGGCCCTTTTTCCGCGCTCCTGGGACGGGCGGCCCTCAGAGGGGTTCTGATGCGAGCCCTGCATCGGCCCGGGCTGGCACCGGGGAGCCCCCCCCCCCTCGTGGGGCGCTGGCTTCCAGGCAGCTGGGAGGGAGCATGACTCCATCACATACCTCCCAGGGGTGACAGTGGGCGGGGCGTGAATAAAAGCAGCAGGACCTGTCGCCTGCACTCGGTGCTGCTCATCAAACAGTGTCTGTGGCCCGGCCGGTGGCTCGGTGGCTGAGCGTGACCTAATGAACCAGGAGGTCACAGTTCGATTCCTGGTCAGGGCACAGGCCCGGGTTTCAGGCTTGATCCCCAGTGTGGGGCGTGCAGGCGGCAGCTGATCCATGATTCTCTCTCATCGTTGGTGTTTCTCTCTCTCCCTCTCCCTTCCTCTCTGACATGAATAAGAAAAAAAAAGTGTGTGTGCGCATGAATGTCACCCACTGAATTCTCCCCCCCCAGCTCAGTGCTGGAGTCCCCCCTGCGCCTCAGAATGTGACTGTATTTGGGTGATGACAGGGGTGACTGAGGCACTGAGGTCACGAGGGTGGGCCCTGGTCCAGTGTGACTGTTGTCCACATAAGAGGAGGTCAGGACAGACTCCATGGCTTTTGTGAAATCCCTGGGAAAGGCATGCTTCTCGCTGTGTCCCACGCAGGACCCGGGGCCTGGCTTGCACTTTGCAGCCCACACAGTAGGACCACACACCACAGGGCCCCGGCGCTCTGAGGGGTGAGGAAGGCGCACCCTGCCTGCAGGAGGGAGCGGCGGGCGCGCCGATGGTGGGTGCTGCGAGGGGTCCCCGTCTTGGTGCTGGATGGCGCTCTCGCAGAAGGCGGTGCAGACACACAGCCTTCCGGGCCGGGTGACAGCGTGACTGTGGGCGGTGGCCGGCCGCTTCAGTGCTGTGTCCCAGGGTCTGTGAGCCTGCAGGGGCCCAGGCGCCCCCGTTGCCACCCACGGGTCGGGGGCCCTGACAGGAAAGGCCAGGGCCTCCCACTCCCCTCCCTCTGCCTTCCCTTCGGCTCGGGCACCTGAGCTCCTTTGACACTGTCTGCTCAGGTCCCAGGGGACCAGACCCCACCCGCCCCGCCCGCCTCCGCTCTTGAGCGAGCCCGCAGCCTCTTGCTCCCGCACGTTCCTCTTCTGGTGTGTTCAGTGTGTCACGGTTTCTCTGCACCTTTGAGCACCCACCCGGCTTGGGCTTGTCTGAGCCCCTCATCCTGGTGGCCTGTGGTCAGCGCTGCCCTGATTGCATGGCCCTGGCCTGCGTGGCGACTTTCAGCACGCGCCCTCTCTTTTTCTATATCTCCCCCGGGCCTCTGAAGGCACCACTGGGTCTACAGGCTTCTTGGGAATGTTTCTTCCCAGCCGCCCAGCCGCCCTCAGAGCCGGCTCCCCAGGGGAGGAGGGTGTCGGGCGGGAGCTGCCTGTGCTCACGCGTGGCCATGGCCACTGAGACCCGGCCGAGGGCAGGACCCCAGCTGCGTTCCCGGCTGAGCGGGCGTCTTCCCGCCGCCCCCGCAAGGCCTGCGTGGCTTCCCTCGGGCAGCGCGTGGTCCGCGCTCCCCACAAGTGCCCGTGTGAGGCGCAGGGCAGGGCCCAGGCCCACACATCTGCTTGGTCTGCCATCTTTTTGAATCTTGCTTTAGGGACCCTCCAGCTGGCCTGAAGTGTGCAGTCCCGGGCCCTGTCACCCTGGGCACTGGGGACGCCGGGCGCGCTCGGGCTGAGCCTCCCCCGAGGCACGTGGACGAGAGCACGTCCCACGGGAGTGTCTGGAGATTGCGTCCTTCCGTGCAGCCGAGTCCTGTGGACTCCGTGTGGGCACTGCCATCAGCAGAGCAGGCCGGACTCGACCTGTCGCCCAGGCTCAGGGCTGCGGCACGTCCCTCAGCCAGGGGATGGGTTTTGTTCCTTTTGTTCTTCGCAGAACGTCTTGGCAGAGTTCACTGTTTCGGATCCAGTCACTTGCGTACCTCCTTCCTCCTGGGCTGTGCGCTCGCTGATGTAGGCCGCTCGTTCGCCGGGGCTCCCGGGGGTGTGGGGACGTGGACATGACGGAGGTCACTCCTGTCCTGGAGGAGCCTGGTGGGAGCGGGGGACAGAGCAGACAAGTAGGACATGGTGGGGAGCCGTGGTGGTGCGGCAGCTGCCTGCCACACCCGTCCTCGGTGCCCGTGCCCAGAGCCTGGCACCTCATGCTGGGGGGGTCTGGTCCTGGCACTGTCTTCCCTGAGGTGAGGGCCTCAGTGATGGCGCCCAGGGTGTCTGTGCCTCGGGAGCGGTCGGGGTGTGCGGGCCCTGACGGGGGCATTGGCCCTTCCTTCCCTGGTTGGATTCCTCACCACCTGCCATGCTTGCAGGCACCAGCTTGGTGAGTGACCCCGATGGGCAGGGCTCCCCGAGGGCTTCCCCTTCCCTCTAGAAGGAGCCCGCTCCAGAGCCTGGCCCAGGCGCCTCGTGGTCCCCGAGACCCCCTCCTGCCTCAGTTGTGCAGACGTCCCGAGCAGCTGCCCGGCTCTGGGCTCCGCAGGCCCTTCCTCCCGTCGCCTGTCCGTCCCTGGGTGCTGAGTTCTGTGTCTCCCAAGGCTCAGCTCGAGTGCCCGTCTGTGGCTCTGGCCCCGTGCTCTCCGAGCTGCCTGAGCTGTCCCTGTCACACCGTGACGCACACTCTCTACCTGGCTGGGTCTTCTTAAAAAGTAAATTTAAAAAAATCCTCACCTGACCGGGACTGACCCACAGCCTCGGTGTGTCCTCACCGGGACTCTGACCCACAGCCTAGCCGTGCCCTCACCGGGACTCTGAGCCACAGCCTAGCCATGTCCTCACCGGGACTCTGAGCCACAGCCTCGGTGTGCCCTCACCAGGAGTCTGAGCCACCTCCTCGGTGTTCCCTGAGCGGGTCTCTGACCCACAGCCTAGCCGTGCCCTCACCGGGAATGGAACTGCCACCTCCTGGCGTAGGGACGACGCTCCCGCCCACTGAACACCTGGCCAGGCCCGGCTGGATCTTATTTGCAGACATGGCCATGGGAGCACCATCTCCCTGCAGATGCCCCTGCTGAGCAAATAGCAATGACACAGCCAGTCGATGCAGGTTGAGTGAGTCAGTGGGACCAGGCGGGGTGGGGCCTCTCCTGCCGGACTCCAGGCAGGCCTGCCTCAGCCTCCCCTCCCCCTGCCCTGTGTTTTTCTGCACGTAAAGTGCTCCATCCACGTTAACAGTGGCATCAGTATTTCAATAGACGGCATTTCTGTTAACCATCAATCCCGTCTCAGCCACGTCAGAACCAAAGATCCAGGCACGGGGGCCACCACAGCTGCAGAAGCTTCCGCCACTCACTCCAGCCCCGTGACAACCGGGAGCTGTGGCGGCGGTTAGTCTGCGACCTGCCGTTGGGCATTATTTACATCAGGATTAAACATTTCGCCGCGAGTCCCATTTCATCACAACGTCAGTTGTTTTGCTGAGCCGGAGTTTTATGAATTTACAGCCTTGGACGGTGGCGCTCTCCCCCAGCAGGACTGTCTCTGCGGACCTGGAGTCCGTGTGATTAAGGGCTCACCGCTCCGTCACGAGCTGCCAGGCGCCCACCTTCAACCCCCCACGGGGGGCGTGCGGGAGACGCGGCTGCAGAGCGGTTCTGGCTGCTGGTGAGCACCAGGCGCTCCCGATGCCCCGGGGGCAATGGGCGTGGTCCTCACAGCTGCCTCCCTCCTGCGCCTCCTGCTCGTCCACAGGCGCTGGCTCCGAGGGCTGTGCCCGAGGCGTGTCCTGGAAGCCCTCGAGGTCCGGGGCATGGCTTACCCTGGTGGTCCCGGTCCCGGTCCCAGCTGCCATCCGGCTCACCACGAGGGGATGTCACTGGGCCAGGCCTCGTCCCTGCCAGACCCCGCCAGGCCCTGCTCCCAGTGAGGTGCTCCTCCGCGGGCCGCCTGGTCCTGGGCAGCGAGCCCCCTCGGGCGACCCGGCGCTCGGGGGCTGCGGGAGCTGCTGTGCCCACAGGCGCTATTGCCACGTGACGGGGGTGGGGGATGGAGGGATTGTTCTTTCATCGGCGAAGTCATACTTTCTAGACTTGTGTCTAACCAGGGAGCTCAGTGGGTGCTGGCTCGTGCTGCCCTGTCTCAGGCGCAGTGAGACCCAGGCAGAGGGTGTGGCTCTGATTTCAGGGGAACGTTGGCACCTGGCTGTGCCCTTCCTGGCCAGTGCCCAGCTGCGGCCTTGCCTGTCGGGGCTACTCAGCAAGGTTCAGATGAGTGGCCCGCAGGAGGTGGCACCCAGAACTCGGAAGCTGCGCTCTGCCCATCGTGGCAGCTGTGCCCCGCCTGGGCCTCTCCTGGGCCTCTGCGCTCATCACCACGCCCTCGGTGCTGGCCCGCCGGCTGCCTGCTCCTGCCCCACCGCCTGCTCCTGCCTTTCTGCTTTTTCAAATCGGCGGGCAGGCCTCTGAGTAAACGCCTTCACTGCATCACATTGGAGAGTAGCAAGTGGCCCGCGTGAGAAATGACACCTCCAACAGACCGCCCACATTCCCGTGGATAAAATAACGAGCCAGCTACACATGCGGAGAAATCAGCGCGCTCCCGCCGCCTGGGAGCAGCCGCGTCCCTGGGAGCAGCCGAGTCCCGCGGACCTGGCCGTGGGGCCCCGCCCCTGTGCACCAGACGGTCGCGTCCTGGACGGCTTTTCTCCGCGTTTACCTTTCATCTCGGGAAGGAAGCATCTGAGAGCCTTGAAGGGCCTTGGAGGAGAGGAGTGGGCGGAAAGGGCCTCTGAAGAGGCTTCTGTGATTGCTGTTGACTCAGCCTGGAGTTGGGAAGTCACCCAGCTGCTCCCGCGGGTGGGATGTGGATTAAGTCTCAGGAATTCTTCCCAGCGAGGCCACCCCCTAAGGAGGCCGTTTCTACCATCTGTGACCTGGCTCTGGCCCAGGAAAGGCCTTCTGCTGCTCCTGCTGGGTGGGTGGGGTCTGGTGGGTGGGGGAGGCCCAGGTGCCTCTGGGAGACTCCAGCCCATGGCTGTGATCAGGGAGCTCCCACCTCCCACCTCCCACCTCCCACCGAGGCTGCCCCGCGGCCTCCAGGCAGGGCCTTGGCTGCGGGCGGCGGAGCACACAGCCTGGGTCTAGGGGTGCCCCCCCTCCCCTCCCCCACCTTCACATCCCCGGGACTCTCTGACACTTAACATTTATGTTTTCAATTTTAAAGTTGTTTTCCTTGCAGAGATGCCTTGCACAATTGCAAAGTAAAACAAAAGCAAATTAAATTAAAAACAGGATACACCATTTTTAGGTTCTTGTGAGTGTCATGCGATGGCAGCTTCTTTACAAGGGTCTGAAGTCAGTTTGTCCGAACGTCTGACAGCATTTCAGCGAGGCGTCTGTGTTGCGTCTTTTGACTTTAATGGTGTTTCCTCGTTAGGTTTTCCCACTCGAGGGACATGGTGGGTCTCGTAGCCTCTCAGGCGCCTGCGCGGCTGCCTTCTTGGATCTTTGCTTGTCAATCCGGGGATTTACCTGCCGTGGCTTTGAAACCTCTCACCTTGGAAGTGGTTTTAGAGGATTATCACTGAGCGCGTGTGGAATATCTTAGAATCAGGACTTGAAAGTGTTACCGAGAACTTCCAGACCTCTGTTAATTATAATTCATGTAGGTTTTCTCTTATTAGAGTGTGCATTGCTTGAGAAGCAATCACTTACAACATATTAATTATGCCAATTAATTGGAAAGGATTCAGAATATTAATTATCTGCGTCTGATTAGGTATTGAAATTGAGAAGCACTAAGTGATGAGGTGGAAGAGACATGAGTCACCTCCTTAGATCAAGAGAAATGGGCCTGGAGAGGTGACCGCAGAGCAGCCTCCTCCGCGCCTGCGTGTCCTTGTCCCGTGTCCCGTGTTGTGGTCCCCGGCTAACTCCGTGTCTTTCCCATGCTCTGCAGAGGAGGAGGACGTGGACATCGCCGACGTGTCCCGCGTGCCTGCGGACGTGCTGCGCAACGTGGAGGCCGACACGTACTGGTGCATGAGCCGGCTGCTGGACGGCATCCAGGTGAGCCGGGCCGCGGGCGCGCCCTCCTCCGTCGGCAAAATGCACAGGCCTCCTCCAGGCCTCACTGCCCCACGTCCGGGTCCGCAGGGAGAGGCCGAAAGTGTGGTGCACAGGGAGGGGCTCGGTGGAGGAAGCCGGGATGACAGGCCTGGGACTGGGGCGGGTGAGGATGCTGCAGGGCGTCCCTCAGGTACAGCGTGTGCGTCAGCCACTGCAGATGGTGCCCGCAGGGAGAGCAGGGACAGCCTGTCACAGACGCCAGCGCTGGCGCAGGGAGCCCGTGGAGAGGTTCATGCTCCAAAGGCCAGCTCCCTAGCGCTTGGGACCCTCTGATACCAGCTGAGACGCTGGAGCCTGGACCAGCCCGGGCCTCATCTTCAGCTCAGCTGGAAGGAGAGGGGTCCCGGGGCTGCTCTGGTGCTGGGGCAGGTGCCGCCAGGCGGCCCCTGGGCCCTGCCTGGGCCTGTTGGTGCAGCCAGCGTGGCGGGAGTAGCGTGCCTGGCGCCCAGCGTGGGCAGAGAGGGTGGACGAGCCGGCCTGCCCCCGCCTCACGTGCGCCAAGTCCCGCTCGGTGGGGAGCGTCTGGGAGCTGGGACCGGAGCCCCGGTCGATACATTGACCGCTCGTGGAAGCGCTGCACAGGGTATTAAACAGAGAGCACGTGCCAGGTGCCTGCGCGCAGCAGAGGGTTCATTAAGAATGAGTCATTGAGCAGCAACTTGAAAATGAAAATGGAAAAAGACTCAATTTACAGCAGCATCGAGAAACGTAAAATCCATGCTGCTGCCCCGATGGATAGTTCATTCCCCTTAATTACCGAGCAGTCTCCTCGGCGGCCTCTGGCCCCGTGGCCTCTGACCTCTGGCCCGGCCCAGCCGGCCTGGCTCTGGCGGCGCCGCCTGGAGTTGCTGTGCCGTCCATGCGCCTGTCCTCTTGGCCGAGTCATCTTTCCTGGGTCAGTCCCTGAGGGCCTGGCTGGGTCGTGCTGTCGGAGCACAGTCCGTTTTCACACAAAAAACAGCAGATGCCCGCCCCCTCCCCCCGCCCCGCCCCATTGGCGGTGCTGTTTGCACACCTGACAGCAGTGCGCGGCCTGGCATGGCTCCTCCTGCGGCAGCCCTTTCACAGACGTGGTTTTGAGAATCCCCCCCCCCGGTTTGAGGTTGGTCAGCACGTTCTTCAGCCCGTGCTTCCTGCTGAGCAGCGTGCTCTGTTGACACGTGGACTCGCGTTCCATGTGTCCTGCGTCCGGACGACAGGCCCGCTGCCGCCGCTGCCCAGGCCTCCCGCTCTCTTCCCGGGCCGTGTTGTGGTCGCTTTGCTGTTGCTGTCACGCAGGTCGGCCTGAGATGTCCTGCACGTGTGGCAGCAGGTGGAGGTGTTGCCCATCGGGGCTCTTGGAGACTCGGGGCCAGGCTGGTACCGAGGCCGGTCACACAGGCACCTGTGCCTGGCCCAGCCCAGACCGTGGCTCCAGGGGAAAGCCGGTGTTCAGGACCCGCCACGCTGTTGCGCTGCGCCCAGCGAGCCGATCCTACCCGTCAGGGACGGTGGCACCCCCCACGGCCAAGTGCCTGAGCCGGCCTCACCCGGCCTCGCCCAGCTGCCCACCGAGCCCACGCTGTCGTTGGGGAGGGGTGAAGGCTGACTTCCCGGCCCGGCCCCCACCCGAGCCCCAAGGCCACACGCGCCAGCACCCGGGCTCTTCCGGAACACAGGCCCTTCATGGTTTGGATCCTAAGAGAACCCACCTTCCCTACCTGGGTTTTCAGCAGATTGAGAAACAAAACCGTGGCAGGTGGAGACCAGAGAAGAACTGCTGCTCCTGCTCAGCGAGAAGGTGGAAATGCCGTCTCGTGCGAGAGCCAGGAAACCGGCCAGCTGAGCCCCAGGATCATGCTTCCCCCATCAGAGCCAGCGCGGGCCAGGCAGGCCGTCCCCTGGGCAACAGAGCCTTTAGGGAGCAGTGCCCCCAGGGCACAGCCTTGGGGTGCACAGCCTTCCTGGGGAACGGCCCCCTCAGGTGGAAGGAGGGCTGACCCTCCCAGGTTCAGCAATGCATGAGGTGCCTTTGGGGTGGACATTCTGGGGATGGAGAAGGTGCGGGAGTGGCACCAACTGCGTCCCCCCCATTTAGAAGCAGCCCCCATGTTTGGGGGTGTTGCCCCCCAGCTACTCTAGCTCGCTGTGGTGCTCACGAGGCCCCTGGTCAGCCAGGGTTGTGGCCTCCTTGGAGCGGCGAGGAGGGGCCTTCGGCCTCAGGCTGCCTCAGTGCACCCTGCCCTTGAGCGCTCGCCTGGGGCCGCGGGCGGGTGTGCCTCTGAGTGCGTCAGGATCGACCATTAAACCGCTCCGCCTCTGCCCGAGGCCGCCAGGCCACTCTGTCCTTTACTCCTCCTCCTTGATGTGCCCGCGTCCACCCAGCCCCCAGCCATCCGGCCACCAGGTCCAGTGGCCGCGCATGAGCTTCCAGCACAGCCACCACCCGTGGTGTCCCTCCCCCTGCTCCCTGCGCTCCAGCGGGAAAGCAGGTCTTCATGGCCAGCCCTGTGCGCTCAGACCGAGCCCAGCTGTGCCTCCTGTTAAAGTGCACGGACACCAGCGCTCACTGTCCTCAGCTTGGGCTCTGTCTCAGCCAGCGGGCCTTCCAGGTCTCCCTGGCGCACACACTTCCTCGGCGCCCCGAGTCCTGTCCCTCACCCCAGCCTCTGGCCGCCCTCACTTCTCAGGAGATCAGTGTGCAGTAGCCACCCCCCGGGAGAGCCCACCCTGCACGCCCAGGATCACGGAGGGCTGTGCAGGGACGGGGCAGAGACGGGGCAGAGAAGGGGCAGAAACAGGGGAGGGGGGCCGTTGGAGTCCCGAGCCGTCCCTGGGATCCGCTGGGAGAAATCTCCCAGAAAGCAGTGGCGCCTGAGCCCGTGCATTTCCGTTTCTGGAGAAACGGTCCAGTGGCCTCGCAGGCGTTCCTGGCTCTGGCGGCGCCCGCTCTGGCTCGGAAGCGTGCGTGTGCCCGTGGCCGAGTGGGCGTGGCCGTGTTAGACGCAGAGCGTGTGCCCGTGGGGCCCTCGGCCTCGGACACTGCCGCTAGCCTGCAGGGCAGCCTCTCCACCTGGACCGAGCCGGTGGCCCTGTGAGTGACACCCGGCCACGGGCTCCCTCGTCCCGCCTCCAGGTTTGGGATCTCCTAGTTCCGTGGGCATGTCCCCTCAGAGCAGCGACCTGTGTGGTCGGTCACCACATGAGACCCAGGTCGCCCCCACTTCCCTCCTGGGCCCTGGATGCCGAGTGGGACGGGGCGGCCCCTTGAGCGCTGCACGCACCCCTTCCCCGTCACGGGAGGCCAGCAGCCCTCGTGCCCGTGCTGCATGCGGGCCCTGCTGTCGCCCCTGTGGGCAGCAGGCGCCCACGACCTGCAGCAGGGGTGGGGGCGTCCGGCCTGTGGGCTGAGGAAGGCCCGCACCGTCATGGGCCTGGCCCTGCCAAGGCATTAGAGGCGAGTTAATTAAATGTTTGACCAAAATAGAGGGTAGTTTTAAGTTGATGACTTTGTGTGGCCTGTGAGTGATGCTGTAAGTGCCCAGATGCCCTGGGCAGTGTGAGGCTCAAAGGACCTTTATGTCCAAGATGTAACCTCGACACGCTGACCCTGTTGTGTAGGAACGAGGCCTCAGCTCAGTTTCTCGTCAGCTTCCTTCCTCTGAAAGCCCCAAAGTCAGCCCTGCCCCTTGGCCCCGCCCACTGTGAACAAGCCCAGCCACTGGCATCAGGTTGTGGACCCACGCTCTGCCCAGTTGGCACGCAGCCAGGCGCCGGGCAGAGAGAGAGCGGCTTCCGGTGGTGCTTGCCCATCAGGCGCTGGCTGGCCGTGCCGCCTTCTGCAGAAGCACCGGGTCTCAGCCCGCGGCCGTGGGGAAGACATGTCTCACAGCAGGGAGGGTCCGCACCTGGCCGAGGGGAACGTCCGGCTCGTTGGCCGGCACCTCCACTCCCTTTGCAGGTCCCAGGGTGAGCGTGGCACTGGGGGTGCTCTCCGGCCCTCCGTCACCACTGGCACGTGCAGGTCCATTCCCGCAGGCCAGCTGCCGCCTCGTTCTGAACATGCTGAGCGCTGGCTGAGGGTGTGGCCGTGGCCGTGGCCGTGGTGTGGGGCAGCTGGGGGGACGGGGCGCCGCTGCCCTCCAGCCGCACTGGGCTCCGGGTGATGGCAGTGCCGGCCTCGGAGTGGACCTGGCGGGCAGCCCCGTTCTCCCAGGCACAGACGAGGAGGCGGAGCCGAGAGAGGTCACAGGCTCCCACGCCAGCTCCGTCTGACCTGAGACCCCCCTGGGGCTGAGACTGGTGTTCCTGTCTCCGTCTGTGAGTGTCGTCACCGCGTTCATGGGGAGTGGCCACACGCTCGCTCTCCCCGGGCAGGGACCGTGCTGTTGGCCCTCGGATTGTTGGTGTGACGTGGCACTGCCAGCGCCGGGCCGGTCGCCATCCCACGTGGCTGTGCCGAGCGCCGTCCGCTTCCAGCAGGCACTTCCTGCAGCGAGCTGCCCCTCAGTGCCCGAATGTCCTCGTCGGTGTGTCCCCCCCTCGCAGGGACACTGCCTTCACTGCTCCTGGGATGGGTGCTGGCCTCTGAATCAGAGGGCAGACTGGCCCTCCTCGGAGCCGCCCTCGCCAGCACTGCCAGGGCGTGTACGCAGCCTGGCCTGTGGGCACACGTGTCCCCCTGCACGTCCCCCTGGAAGGCCGCACGGCTGTATGTGTGACGTCGCTGTTATCTTCCCTCAGGACAACTACACCTTCGCGCAGCCCGGGATCCAGATGAAAGTGAGGATGCTGGAGGAGCTCGTGGGCCGCATCGATGGTGAGCCTCCCGAGGCCTCTGCGGGGGCGGGCAGGGAGTGGCTGTGGGACCTGGGACTCTGCCCACCTGCAGGGTGGCAGGAGGCTCCTCGCCCAGCCTGGGCCCCACTGGGGCAGCTGCGTGCACCCCCCGTTGAGGCCAGCCCTGGGGCGGGCAGGGCAGCGTGCACCCCCGAGGCCAGCCCTGGGGCGGGAAGGGCAGCGTGCACCCCCGAGGCCAGCCCTGGGGCGGGCAGGGCAGCGTGCACCCCCGAGGCCACCCCTGGGGCAGCAGCGCCCCCTCCTGAGGGACAGAACCAGGACACAGTCCTGTGAGGGAGTCGGGAGCACGAGTGGGCAGCCCTCGCTCTGGAGCCGGGGCTGCCACCGCCTGGCGAGGTGCGCACTCCCGGTGCCCTTGGGCCTCCGTTCCCGCCTGTGCACTCGCTGCTGTCAGGGATGCTGGCGTGATTTCTCCACGGGGTCTGGTTAATTGCCGGGTCTGGAAATAACATCTTCCACTTTACGGGGAGATTAAAGTGTGAGCTCGGCCGTCTTAGGTTGTGCTTTCTGTTTAAGTGGGGGCTGCGCAAGGCTGTCCCCTTCACCTTAGAATAACCCCCTCTCATGCTGACGGTCGTGTGGGAGTGGAGTTTAATGACGTGACGTGGAGAGAGGATGCTGGCCCGCCGAGCGCGCGCTCCTGGTGGTTTGTGGACTTAGTGCACAGAGCGTTGACACAGCGACACGATGCAGAACTAGGCGGCGACCTGTGACAGCAGCCGGCCAGCGAGGTCCGGAGGAGGGGGTGGTCGTCCATAAAGAGCCCGTGTGAGCGTGGCCACGGGCTCCCTGAATGCGCAGAGCGTGTGCTTTGTGCACTGTGGCCGTGGCTGTGGGCGTGGGCCTGCACCCCAGCCCTGCCTCTGTGCTCGTGCACCCCCGCCCTTCCGTGTGGTGCCGTCCCCACAGACAGCCGCAGTGCGATCCCCACAGGAGCGGCTCTGGGCCGGGGAGCGTTGATGGACGTGGCCCTCCTCCCCATCTCCCACCTCCCAGCCTCCCTCTTCCCTCCTCCCAGCCGCTATGGCCTGGATGCCTCGTGCTCAGTGAGGGCTGGATGAGGGCTCTAGCCTGGCGGTGTGGGAGGCTCTGTCTCTGCACCTGTGGCCTGTCCTTCCGGGCCCTCAGGACACGGCAGGGCCCGCTCAGCCGCTCTGGGCGCCTGCGCATGGCGGGAGGGCGAGGGCTGGCCCCAGCTCAAGGCAGAAGGCTGCTCCCCTTCAGATGACCCTCCCCCAGGTGCGTGCTCAGTGCTTACTGCTGCCGAGACTCCTTACCTAAACAAGGAGACTCCAAATGCAGCCATTCCCCTTGACCTGCGGACAAGGCAGCCGTCGTCGGCTTTCAAACGGCTCCCCAGTCGTTTCTGCTCCCGGCCGCAGGCGCTGGAGGGCTGTGCGTGGTTTTACTCGCTCACCACAGAGTGTCCCTCTCAGGTCAGGGCGGGCGGCCTCGGCGCTGGTCACTCCTCTCGGGGAGGACAGAGGACGGCTGAGCTTTCCCCCAGCGAGCCCCCGCCCTCGCCCCCGCCCTCCCTGCCTTGGTGCTCTGATGCCCGGCTCCGCTGTGGGCCTCAGGCTCACAGGCCTGGGGTGCGCCTCGGCGCCTCAGGACCCACAGCTCACCCCCCCCCCCCCCCGGAGAGCCCAGTCCCAGCCCCTCCTCCCAGCCCCTATGGCCTGGGATGCCTCGTGGTCAGCGGCTGGTCGGGGGGAAGGGACGGGCTGGCGGTCACTCTGAGGACAGGCTCTGGAAGGGGTTCATGGGTGAACGGAGCCTCTCTCCCAGGAGCCTGGTGGGGGGCTGCGGGCTCGCTGACCTGGCCCCTCAAAGGACCTGAGCTCCGGCCGAGAAGCTTGGAGGCAGGTGCTGCTGTGTCGGGTGGACGGGCTGGCGGTGACCTGCCCGCTGCCCCGCCCTCACACCCTGCGGCTCTCAAGGGCCTTAGTCTCCGAGCAGGCCGTGGGCTCGCTCCCTCCACTCCCTCCGCGGGGTGGGAGCCAGGCAGTTCTTCCTGTGCTCGCGCCCAGGACTCTATTGAACGTCAGTGTCTGTGCTCAGACCCCGAATAAAATGCCTGCCTTCCGGCCGAGCAAGTCACTCCCTCAACCAGATGTTCCACAGAGGTTGTGAGGCCCTGTCTGCAGGCTGTGTGCCCCTCCCACCATCGTCGTGGGCTCATCGGGCCACCTCCCTCCTCCTTCCTCCCTCCTCCCTCCCACACCCGCCCGTCCATTCAGCCTCCTCCTCCCTCCTCCCTCCCACACCCGCCCATCCATTCAGCCTCCTCCTCCCTCCTCCCTCCCATGTCATCCCGTCCACTTACCCACCTTTATCACCCACCCTGCCTCCACCCAGCCGCCCACCCGCGTGGGAGCCTCCAGCCTCTGGCCCTCTGGGTCCTGGGGAGGAGCTGAAGGGTCTCCTTTCATCTCACCCACACCTGATGGGAGAGGCGTGCGTGTCCCGGCCTCTCAGGTGTCCGGCCACAGCCGGCTCCTCCAGCGCCTCCTGGGGGCCCTGCAGGGTTTGAGGGACAGTCGCCTGTGGGTCTGCTGGGACCAGGGCTGGTTGCTGACCGCTCGTCCGGCAGGGACTCAGGCTGTGAGTGCCACTGCAGCCGCTGAGGATGAGCCGCTTGTCCCCAATGGGAGGTCGTGCACCAGGGAAACGCGGCTGGTAAACCCGGCTCTCCTCAGAGGCCCAGCCATCCTCCCCGGGCCCCAAACCTGGAGCCCAGAGGCCCCTGCCCAGGGCCCGAGGCCATGCCCGCTTGGCACTCAGCGGCTGGGTCCGGAGCACTTGTGGGTGAGGTGGACGTCGTCCTGCGACTGGCGAGCTCACCTCTCCCTCTCAGTCCCTCCGCCTCCAGCCTGTCCGGTGGGCCTGCCCCGCGCGGAGAGGGGCCTGCCCCGTGCTCCGTCTGTGGGCGTCCTGCTGGTGTGAGGTGTGGGCTTCCCCCGGGTCCCTGGTGGTGGTTGGAGCGGGTGGTTCAGAGATGGGTGCAGGCGAGGCTCCTGACAGCGGCCTGTCCGTCCCGCAGAGCAAGTGCACCGGCACCTGGAGCAGCACGAGGTGCGGTACCTGCAGTTCGCCTTCCGCTGGATGAACAACCTGCTGATGAGGGAGGTGCCCCTGCGCTGCACCATCCGCCTGTGGGACACCTACCAGGTGAGCTCTGCGCACGCTCAGCTGCGCGCCGCGGCCTTCGGGCCCATTTCTGAGGCTGTCGTCTGAGTGACGGAAAGCAGGAGCCGTTTCTGAGGTTGTGTCTGTAGCGAGCTTCCCTCCCGGGGGGTGGCGGGAACGCTGGTGACTGCGCTGGGTCTGAGCCACGTCGGCCCCGGCGCTCACACTCACGCCGCCTGCGCTCCGAGCTGCTGATAACAAAGACTTTAGAAACCCCGTGACGGCCAGTGCAGCGTGCACTCCCTCTCCACCCTCCTGGTGGAGTCCGTTGCTCAGGAGACGCGTTTTCTGGAACAAACCACCTCTGTTCCCGAGGGTCCCATTGCTTATCTACCTTCCCATCTCGGTGGCGGTGATTGCTGAAGCCCAGGCCAGGCTGCGGGGGACTCGCGGACAGCAGGCGCCGATGGGGCGGGGGTGGGGGGTGGGGGCGCTGCCTGTAAGACGGAGCGGGAGCTGCTGTGTGTGGCCCCTGAGTCGCTGGCCCCGCAGCCTAGTGGACAGGATGGAGTTGGTGTGAGGCTGAGCATAAGGAGTCGGGTAGAGACTTCATTTTGTCTTAGGGTTAATGGGGTTCTATTGTCTGGTGAGACCGCTCTCAGTAGGATCTGTGCGATACCCCGGTATCACGGACCGAGCACACTACGATCCAAGAAAAGGGAGTGGTGCTCTGGATCGAGTATATCTCACCATCTCTCCTGTAAACTAATCGAGCGCGCAGACGCGATAAGCATCCACTACGAGGAGCGCGACCAGCGGAGCTTGTTGACTTGAAAGGGATTGTGGGGGGACGTAGGAGGACATTACCTGCTAAATCCGGATACAAGCAATTTAGCCAGGAATTAACA